CCCCCCCCCCCCCCCCCCCCCCCGTGAATACTATAGGACAGGATCCAGCAAAGAGTCAGGGAGTGCTAAATTCTGTGAAGAGCCTCAGCCTCTTAGGAAAGAGCAGGATCCAGTCAAGCCTCATTGTTTTTGAGCAATGATTTCAATGGGACCCAAAAGAATTTGACAGCACCTGGATCAGGAACCAATATTGGGTAAGAGACAAGGAAAACCTTCCACACAGTCTAGGGCTGAGGCCACATCTACATCAGTGTAAACCATTCTCGTTTTCATGAAAGGATGGCAAAAGATCGTCTGCAAAAAACAAGCTGCCAGCCTCTCTGCATGGAAGCAACTCTTCTAAGAGCCGCTTCTGGTGGGCAAAATAATGTGGCAGGGCTGTGATCCTGTCTGCACAAAGAAGGAGACAGGAGATCCCACCTGGCACTCTTAGCGTTGCCTTCACCCAACACGCCTAATCTGATTGCTGAATCCTTTACTGGATTGGCACAATACGTTGGACCCAGAGCTGACCAAATGAGATGGATCTGGGCAACAACAGCCACACTCACACATAACTAGCCAAGGTCACAACACATCAAACTTGACATGCAGCATAGGCATTTCATGATCTGGTTACGGAAACTCTGCAAACTTTGCCAGTGTGTCAGATGGGACGCCTGTTGGGCTCCCTGACTCTCTTCTCATTCCTTCTTACCTGAGTTTGGGTGAGGCCTAGCGAAGCTGCCAGCTCAGCTCTCTCGGGCAGTGCCAGATACTGGGTCTTCTGGAAGCGTCTCTGTAAGGCTGCCAACTGAAAACTGGAATAGATGGTTCTCGGCTTTCGCACTTTCTTTGGCTTCCCGTTAACTATCCGGATCTCAGGCTCGCCCTCTTCTTTTTCTGTTGCAAGAAAGGAAAATGGGTGAATAATCTGGTTCCAGCCAACACACGCTGTTTTGTTATAAGCGGCGGAGCCTGGATACTTGACTAGGAACAAAACGCGGCCACAATTCCCTGCACAGGAGCCTTAAAGGGATGGGTCAAAAGATCCCAGCTCCACAACGCCATCCAGGAGCTTCTTGCTCTCCCCCCCTCCCCCGCATTCCTAACTCAATCACTCAGGCTTAAGAAATCAGAGGAAAAGCAGTGGGGGAGTTTTCCCCATCTCCCCTGTGCCCTGGAGTCTTACCGGGGTCATTGTTGATTGGGGGCGTCCTTGTCCCGTAGGTTGCATAGGAGCTATAAGAGGCGGAGTATCCCAGATCGTAACTCCCAGCTTTGGTGGAGTAGGGCACTGCGCCAATGCCACTCGGGTGATACTGGTAAGAGCCCATCTGAGCGTAGGGCGACCCGCCGCTTCCGCTGCTACCTGCGCTGCCTCCCCCGCCTCCACTGCCGCCGTGCTGTTGCTGGTTGGTGTAGTAGCTGCTGTCCGTGGCCGTGGACACAGGCAGAGTGGGGGATTCCTGGGGCTTATGCAAGCTGTGGTGCTGCTGCTGCTGCTGCTGCTGCTGCTGGTAACTGCTGGAGGTAATCTGGTTTGAATGCATATCTGAAACAAGGCTGTCAAAGACTCCAGTCATCCTGGTCCTCTATCCCCGCCCCTCTCTCTCTCTCTCTCTCTCTCTCTCTCTCTCT